ACGTAACAAATATAATTTTCTCCACCAGGAACAAGGGAGATTGTGTCTTTAAACAATAGTCGCAAAATTTTTTATACTTTACCCAGAATGAATATGTATTAAATAGAATTGTGTAACCAAAATCCAAGATAGTAATGAATGGTTTGTATGTGGTTAAACAAAAGTTCTGTAGTTCTGTAATATCATGTGATACAATTATTGTTAATTTTATTAAAATACAATATGTTTAATGACTCAAAGGAAAAGGGCATTGAAAAAGTTATTATATTGTATATCATACTCTAGTTATTAGAAGTTATCTTAACTTATAATTCATCTATATTAGACAATTTCTGATTCTTTATAGATGAATTTTTATGAATTTAAAATTAATATACTTTTAATAAATCAATTATAAACTGAAGCAATTTATTTTTTTCAATTAAGTGTTAATAATTAACATAGAATATTTATTCATAAAAAAAGCTTAGAAGTAAGATTAGTATTTTTTGCTTTTAACTATTTAAGTAAATTATTAATTTATTAGTATAGTTTACTTAGTTTAAACTAATATTCTAGACATTATAATTTATTGATTAATATGTTCTGAGATATTATCCCTTAAATTGTAGAGGTTCACAGGCAAATTTGTCTGCTTATTTACTATAAATTCCCTTCTGATTTACTTTTATAAAAAATTAAAATTTTTTAAAAAATTTTTTTTAAATTAATTTTATAAATATGTATTATAATATAGTATTTTTTATTTTTTTAATTATATAATAAATAATTTACAGTTACTTATTAACTAAAAATTTATAATTTTTAAAAAAATTATAAATTAAAAAATTTTATTATGAAGAATAACTTTAACTATTACACTTTTTATAATTTACTAAGAAATTTTATGATTTTTATTAATAATAAAGTGATTCAATTAGTTTGTAAACATATAAATTTTAAAGAATTTTTTAAAAAATTATTATAATAAATTTTTTAAAACTTAAATTTAAAAATTAAATTATTTAAAAAGTATCTTATAAATTTAAAATTTCTTCTAATAAAATTAATAAAATATATATTAAACTATATTTTTCATATAATTACTATATTACTAAAATTAATATTTAATATTTTATTAAAAAAATAACACATTTTTTTAAGTTTATAGGCAAATTTACCTGTTAAACAATCTAAAGGATAGTCTATTAATTAATATATCTTGAAATATTATTAATTAATAGATTATAATATTTTAAGTTGTTAGCTTGCTTTTAGAATTTTTTATTACTAAAAAACTTATCTTCAATTAACTTTCTTCTGTATTGTTTTATTATTAAAATTTGCTAAAAATTCACCCTACTAAATGCTAAGTAATATAGCAAATTTATAGTATAATTTTAGTTAATTTTGAACAGTTCTATATTATAATTCTAGCTGATATTTAGGGTAGAATATCTTTTTTTTTAATAATTAAATTTATATAATTTTCAGCTTATTTAGAAAAAGGTGTTATAAGCTTTCTAATAATACTAAAATTATATAGATTTAATATCTAAATACTAAAATATTACATCTAAAGTTCTAGTTAAAATTATAAAATAGTTTAATTAAAATAATTGTTAATTTACTGCAGTTTAAGTTTTAGATATTTTCTTACCATCTTTTTGCTATTTTTAAACATCTTAAGATTAGAACAAAATCTAAAATAATTTTTTTATTTCTAGAAAAATTTAGTATATATTTACTGAAATATTTTTAAAAGATAATTATATTATTTATTTTGAGATTTTTAAGATAATTAATTATGTTCTTCTATTTCTATCTCTAATGTCTCTAGTAAATAATAAAATTCTAAAAGAAAAAATTATAAATTTTTATATAATATATAACACTGCTTATAATACCTCAGATATTTTATAAAAAACTTATTTTAAAAATATATAATACCTGTAGATTAGGAATAAAAAATTAACAGTTAATTAAGATTTGGTTAATTAATCAGTTAATTAATCGTTAATTAACTATAATATAAATTTTAATATAAAATTTTATATAAAAAATTTTTTAATTTTTTATTTATTATTATTATAATATTGCTTATTAAACAGAAATTTATTATTATAAGTAGCTATATATTGATATTGTTACAATAAATTTATTACATTTAATTCAAATCTGAAAATATTATCATCAAAATTTAATAAATTATTATTATTATCATTGCCTCTTTTATTATCTCCTTCATTATTATTCTCTTTATTCTTTGTGAATTTCTTATCTTTATTATATAACTTTATTTTTTTGAACTTATTATATATCTGAAGATTTTTATAAATATAACTAATTTTTAATGTGATTATTACATAATCAATTTTAGATTTTATTATAAATAAATCTAAAAGTAAAAAAATTTTTCTCTACAACTATTGATAATATAAGAATTAAAAAAATTTTGATAGCCAATTGCTGAAGTTTATAACTTGATCATAATTATCACTATATAGAAGGATTAAAAATAGATAATAATATCCAAATTATTTTATTATTATATAGTGAAACTTTTTGGTGAAATTTTATTAGCTCAATAAACAGTTTTACAGATTTCTCTTGATTAAACAATTAGTTAGTAAATGCTATAAATTTAGAGTATCTAGTTACTTCTAAATCTGTATTCCTACTTTTCTTTTAAAACATATAAATTTAATATATAAGTAGCTATTATAATAGAATGATATACATACTCCTATCTTTTTTGAATAAGTTGCTGAATATTTTTTAAAAAATAAATATATCTGATTCAAAAAACTTTAATATTATAACTATTGATTTTAAAATATTAATTATCAAATTTACCATTTGTCAAAATTCATCTGATAATATAATATTTCTTATTATTCAATCTATTTTTTAGCAAATCAAAGGATTCAATAATTATTCAAGAACAATTCTTAATTTTTAAAATGATTAAAAATAGTTAAGATGTGTATCTTATCATATAAGTATTAGTAAAAATAATATAATCTCCTTGTTATAATTTTCTAATTAAATATGTTTTAATTTTGCTGCTATTATAAATAAGATCTAAAATAAATTACTATTTAATTTTGCATTATTAACTATAGCCTTAATTTCATCAAATAATAAAATATCTTTAATTAAAAAATTAATAATATGAGAGTTATATCTAAAACAAACAATATTAGAATATTTTTCTTCATATTTCTCTATGTTACTTTTATTATACTAGTTATATTTATAATAACTACTGAAAGTTTTTGATTTTTAATAATATTTATTTATTAAATTATTTGATTTACAATTCATTCTGCTATATGAGATTCTTTACTTGAAAATGTTGTATCAATAAAAATAGTTTTAGAGTATAAATAATAAAATTATATACTGAATCTTTATTAATATTAGATTAGCTATCAGAAACTATATGAAGAATTATTACATTTAAAATTTCTTCATCTGCTTATATCTTTATAGTTACTGATGAAAGTAATAATACTACAAGTGTTGCTTATTTTTTGAGTTGTAGCATGTTCATTTTCTACTTCAGAATTTTCTACCATAAACGATTGACTAAAATACCTAGGTATAATACAAATTTAAAAATTTCAGAGGGTACTATACTGTAGGGATACTTTGGTTTAAGAGGGGTACAACCTTAAAAATTTTTTAATGATCAATGATGTTGAATAATTAATTAAATTAGCTTTTTTGATGAATATACATTTGCTAATTTAGGAAATAGTGCAGATTTATAATTTTTTAAATTTTAATACAATTATTAATTTTTTTAGCTTGTAAAAACTTAAACATATCTTAAACAAAAAAAAAAATATTTTTTGCTCACTTACCTTAATCCTTTTAGTATAATAATTAATAATATAGTTATTCATTAAGATAAAAATAAAAAAGTATGAGTGACAGAAAAAAGTAAAAGGTAATAGTATACTCATGAAAAATTGCTTATATTAAAATATGCTGAATAATATAATAATAAACATTAGCTGTAAGAAGATTTAATATAGAACTAAAACAAATTTATTATTAGATGAACCAAAAATCTTAACTTGAAAATGTAGTATTATATATACAAAAACTCTATAAGGGTAAAGATGCTATACTTCAGAATTTGAAAAATAAATATTAGATTTGCGTAAGAATGCAAAAGCTATTATATAAAATATAGTAATTAGAAAAGCAAAATTAATTGCTAAAAAAAAAAAAATAAGTAGATCTATATCTGATTATTACTCAATTTAAATTTTCAGAAGCATAATTAGAAGGATTTATAAAAAGATATAACCTTTCAACAAAAAGAAAAGCACATATTATTCAACATTTTCCTAATGATCTTATAGAAAATAACAAAATTTATTAAGTTTCATTTATATAGAAGAATTCAGTATGATTATCCTTTAAAATATATTGGCAATATGGATGAAACATCTGTTACGTTTGATCTACTATATTTAACCACTTTGAATTATTGTGACACTTTAACTATTAATATAAAAACTACCAGTTATGAAAAAACAAATTTTACTGTTATATTAGCATATATGGCTGATAGTAGAAAATTACCAACAATTTGTATTTTTAAGCTTAAAAATATATCAAGAGAAATTTTATCTTAAGGAATTCATATATGTGTAAATAAAAAAATAGTATAATGAATAAGAAATACTTTGATAAATTGAGAATATATGAACTTAAAGAAATGTACTTGTCATCTAAGGTCTTTATTAATTTTAGATTCTTTTTGTAAACATCTTGTTAATTCAATAAAAAATAGATTTAATAAAAAAACAAACAAATATTGCAATTATTCCTAGTAGTTTTATAAGTAAATTATAACTTTTAGATATAGCTATTAATAAAAGTTTTAAAGCAAATTTGTGTTAATATTACAATGAATAAATGAATTCTAAAGTTTATACATTAATTTCTGCTAGAAGAATTAAACAACCTTCTTATGTTACTATAGCTGAATAGGTAAAAAAATCATGAAGCAATATAGATATTTCTATAATTCTAAATGTTGTGAAATTTCTATAATTAGAGATGGAAGTGAGGATAATTTAATATTTGATTATGATAGTTTAATTAATACAAAAAAAATAGAAAAATTGAGCAGAATAAAATTTGTAATATTAATAATTTCAATAAGATCATGATAGTGATTATAGAGAAACTGACAATAAAAGTGATAATAGTAATAAAGGAAGTAATAATCATAGTGATAACAATAATGAAGTTAAATATGATATTAATGAATATAAAGAACAAGAAGTTCCTGATTATGAGAATGAATATGAATAGGTAGAATTTTATTTATAATACAAATATTTTTGTAAAAAATAAATGAGATTTTATTTAATTTTAAGAATTTAATATTAATTTAGCATTGTTAAATTTAAAAACTTTCAAATTCTTTTAAAAATAAAATAATATTTTATTTTATTTAATTCAGTTAATATAATAAAGTTCTGAACTAGAACATACTGATATATAAAGTATAATATATAATACCTAGAAGTATAATACTTCTGAATATCATACAAATTTTACAAGAAAAAATCTGAACTCTTCATGTATAATATCCAGGTCTTTTATATCAAAGTTATGAGTATGATACAATACTATAAGAGGGATACTTTAGTTAACCAGTTATAGTAGTATTTTTATAGTATTTTTTATAATGTTATCCAAGTTAATTACGAATTCTACTGACTAAAAAATAGATCTCAATACGTATAGTAACATTTTAAGTATCTGAAGAATAATAATTTATGTTAATAATCCTAAAGTCTTGTTGGCATTAATAGAATTATTAATGTAAATCACTACAATCAATGTATATGTTTATATGGAAGAGCAATAATAATGGATTAGGTTTTATGTTATGAGTTTAACTAATTAAAGTTATAAAGTAAAAGGTTGGTTTTATTAATTAGAGAAATTGGGATCAATACCATTCAATAATTTAAATAAGCTCTTATTCGCGAATTTACAAAATTAAAGAATAAATAATAAAATAAACTATATTAAAACTGTATTAGAAAATCTATCTAATAATTAATATCAAAACTAACTAGCTTAATTTTACTAAAAACTAACTAACTGAAAATTAACTAACTTGTAATTCACTAAAGACTAACTAAGATTGACTGATAAAAATTCCTATTCTATTTATATAAAACTTTGGATCTAATTCTATTATTAAATTAAGATAAAGTATAACTTAATAAACTACAGAAATCTTGTATACATTATTAACTTAATTAATAAGTTTAACTAAATAAACCATATTAATTATGTAAATATATTTAAATTTGTTAACAGCATTATTATCAGTTTTGTCATTTTTTTTTTTTTTTTTTTGACTTTTAATGATATGATACTGCTACAAGTTTATTTATTAGATTTATTATTTTAAATGCACTAATCTATATAAAATAAAGTAAGAAAGGATTGGTATCTCTAGTTTAATTGACAATAACTGAGCTTCTATTGTGGGTTACATTGCAATAGCTACAGGTTCAAAACTTAGTCAAGGCATACAAACTAGATGATTTTCATAAGAATTTTATATACAGTCTAAGTTCTCTATAGCGAATTTTTGTATTACGAATTTTATACTATTGTGAATCACATGGGTGATACCAAATTTTATTAATAAAATTATTAAATATAATGAATTTTTATAGTAAATCTTACTATTACGTATAATGAATATGAAGATCTATACAAGTATAATAAAATGAATCTTTTATTAATGAATTTTTTTTATAATGAATTTTTATAATAATTATAACGAATTTTTTTTTATAACGAATGTTTATAATAAATATAATGAATTTTTTTTAACAAATTTTCGCAATAAATTTAAGAGATATAATGAATTTTTTACAATTATTATTAATAGATAAATTAAACGATTGTGTAAAATTTTTTGATAATAAATTGATCATTTAAAATACCTAAAGAAAAGAGAAAAAAATTTTATCTAAAGGCAAAGAGAAAGCTTCTAATATAAAACAAACTAGGGCATCTCTTACAGATGCTCAAAAACAAGAAGTTTGTCTAAAAAAATTACAGAAACCAGCACCTAAAAATAAAGAATTTGCTAAAGAATTTGATGTTTCAGAGGGAATGATATGTGATAATTCTAAAAGAAAGTGAAAAATGGTTGGCTTTAAAATTAAATTCTTACAAAGTTTCACTTAAAAGACAGATCAAGCCAAGTTTTTCACAAATTGAAGAAGTTTTGGGTTTTTGGGTTAAAAAAGCCATAGATAATAATATTACTATTAATGGCGAATTATTAATACAAAAAGCATGTGATTTTACAATATTACTTAATGTATAAGGCTTTAAAGGATCTGATGGATGGATAGCAGGTTTTAAAAAATGCCATAATCTTGAATGTTATGTAAAATATAGTAAAGCAGCAAGTGCTCCTTTAGAAGATTTAGATAATATATGTAGAGATCTTTAAAATATTTTTAAAGAATATTCACCTAATGATATCTTTAATATAGATGAAACTGGATTTTATTGGAAAATGGAACTAAATCTCATTTTATCAACTGGTCCAGGTAAATTAAATATTAATTATTGAAAATTAATATAAATAATTAAATGAAATTAAAATAATACTTATCATAGTTGTAGGTAAAAAGAAATCCAAGGAATATGTTACTATTACATTATGTTGTAATACTTCAGAAACCGAAAAAGTATAGTAGCGGTCATAAGTATCTGACCACCTCTAACTCCAGCTACAAGTAAGCAAATTCAAAATTTTTTTTTTATTTAAAAATACATAACCAACTAACTAAAATTAATACATTGTGTAGTCACCATCTGACTCTATAAGTGCAG